GGGGGGGGGGGAGGCAAATCAAGGCCACCGCAGTGAGGGAGGGAGCGGGACTGAGACTGGAGCAGGCGCTGCCCAGCCAGGGTGGGGGTGGGCGGCTCCTGCCACTGCACACACCCTGGAAGGACACTGCGTGGGACAAAGGCAGCTGCTGCTGCAGGCTGGGGCTTGGGCTGCGCCGAGATCTTCCTGGTGGGGGCTGGTCTGGGCTGCGCTAGGGGCATGGCAGATGTCAGCACTGGGAGACGGGTTAGGGGGGTTACAGCAAATTTTGGGGTAACTGCAGCCTCCCATAGCTCCCCTCCCAGCACTGCCACTGCCTGTCCCCAGCACAGCCCAGCCCCAGCTGGGAAGTGCCCCGTGAAGCCCCAGCCCAGGCCCGCAGTGGCAGCCAACCCCACCCCATGCAGATCTGGGGGCACAAGCCCCCCACACTCTTCCAGGGTGCATGCAGCAGCAAGAGCTCCCCCCACTCGCCCCCCACAACACAACCCCAGACAAGCTGCGGCTCCATCCCATGCCCTGCCCCACTCCCTCCCTCACCGCAGGGGCCTCAATCCGCCTCCCCCTCACACCCCTTCCCTTCCACCATAATGCACCACCGGGACACTGCTCTTCAAGCCACTGGGCTGTGCATGGGAAATTGGATCGATATCAGCCGATATGCCTCCTTAAATATCAGCTATCAGTATAGTATCAGCCCAAAAAAATCTCTATTGGTGCACCCCTACATGTTGTACTGCAAGCTGTTCAAATGCTGATCAGTTTAAGTGTTAGCTCAAGTTTGGGGCACTCGCACTTAAGGTTAAAAATCTTCTCTGACCGCTCCCCACCTGCACAGGTGCGACTTGCCAGTAGAGGGCTGGTGAGTCAAGACAGGCTTCTACGCTGTGGGGGTGTGAGAGACGGGTTGGGGGGAGAGGGGAGGGGACACGCCACGAGAACATGAAGCTAGGAGGCAGAGAGTTAATGGGAGGGGTGGGGAAATGAAGGAAGTCAGCCACTGAAGGATCAAATAAAAAGAAATTTAAAAAAAAGAATTTAAAAATGAATAGAGGAAGTAAATTAAAGGTTTCATGTTTTAATAAATTGGGATTAGGGATTGGGGCATTGGGGGGAGTACAATTTTCGCTTCCCAGGGTGACTGGAAGGTAGGAGCAGTGAGGGAAGTCGATTTTGGGGAAGCTACTGCCCCTGCCCCAGAAGGAAGCCCAGCTCATGGGGAGCCGATCTGGTCCCCTACCACGTTGCCCCCACCACATCTAGACCACACTCCTGAACCCATCTGTGCCCTGCAACCTGGCTAGCTGGCACGTGCTCTGCAGGCTGTTTGCACAGGGTTGCACGTCACACTCCTGGGGTAGGAGGGGGCTTGGTGCCAGAACTGCCCCCTGGGCAATAAAATTCAGGGGATGGAGAGTTTGTCCACAGGAAGGTTCAAGGGGAGACACTGCATCCTGAGATGTTGGGGGGACTACATTTTGGGTGGTTTATCTGTGGGGAGTGGCCACACATTTGTGGAACATGAGCTGGGTAATACAAATCAGAGAGAAACCTGCCCTAGAGTGGCTCAATTTTAAAAATCCTAAAGCGTGCTTAAAACTAGTTTCAGGTGTTAATGTGTGAACAATCCAAGGGTTAAGAACTCCAGGAGCTGCCTAAAATTAATGTGAATGTGCAGCAAGGCCCTTATACCAAGTTGTGCACACCGGAAATACAAAATTGGGACCCAAGTCTGATTAATACTCCACCAATAAGAATTACTTGGTAAAACAACACCGGAACTCAGCCTATAAGAAGTGCAGTTTGGGCTTATTCTGTGCTTACTCAGACTTAAAATTCATTTGAAAACCTAAAGCTAAAACTGGTTTCCTCTACTATCTATATTTAATCAGTTATGGCACAGCCAAACCAAATTAAAATACTTCAAAGTGACACCCATAGCAGTGGACTGGCTCCCAGTGTTTGCTTTAGAGGCGTGGCACACACGAAGAATGGTCAACACACGTACAAACAGTAATCTGAGGTTGAACTGGTGACTGAACTGAGCCTGTTTGCACTTTCTGCCTCTATAAGCAACAGTGCTCATGGGCGGAACATGGGGAAAGACGCCGCCACAATGGAGTACTCAGCTCACTACATGTAGTATTTCACTGTCCTTTTCTGCAGGAAAAGAACAGCCTACTTTGGAGACAGACATCATCTAACGTATTAAGTGCCATCACTCTGGGTGGCTTAGGATAGGAAATTGATGATACTTAAATGGAGATTAATACCTCTCCTGTTCCTCCAGAGGCAAAGGCCAGGGGTTCTGGTCAACTGCAATTGGGATTTTACACCGGTGGTATCATAAAGCATACTGTGCTCTGACAACCTAAAGAGAAAAGCATTTGTAAAATACTTTCATGTGGGATTTTAATGAGGATATCTGAAGAGCTGGGGAAAACATTAAACAGATACACTGCTGCAGTTAACTTTGCCATTGTGTGTGTTAATTATTAGCAGGACAGCAAAAAACCCCACAGTATTAACTATGATCCTTAACTAGAAGATCCTCACATATACAAAAAGGTTAATTAACTCCTGGCCAAATTCAACTGCACTCCCTAGTGTTGCACTTCCTTGGATCAATAGTAAATTTGCCCCCAATAGTAATTAAACCTAAGGAGGTGGGCAGAAGGAAGAAATACATATCAGTTTCTACATGGCAGGAGAGAGCCCAGACACCAGGTTGCACTATCCTATTTTAAAACCTTTCCTTGCTGCGATTCATAGTCCCCAACTGTAGCACACTTATCGGGATATATGTACACAGCTCACTAACACTAGTTGCCTCTGGGTGCTTAGGCAGAAAACTGTCGTCTGGGACAAGAGGGACACCTCTTCCTTGGCACTTCAGCACTGTGTCCAAAACCATCATACATCTCCATATGCCTGCATCATCAGCTTCCTTGCCAAAACATTTAATATGCCTAATGTGCATCTGAAAATAATGAAAACCTAGATTCCAAACTAATACAATAACTGTTTTTCAAGGAAAGCCAAAGGAAATCGATGCCAAAACTGTTTGTTTGTATGCATGAAGACTGGCAACCATTTTATTCTGATTCATATTTATTTCTTCAAGTGTACAAGAGACCTTGCAATAGGCCTAGTTCTGTAACCTTACAAAACATCAGCATCTGGATTAGCTCCCAATTGTTCCATTAAACTGCAAGCAACAGGCTATTTTTTGACAGTCAAAAAAAAGGGCAAGCAGCAGTACTCTCCATCTTTTACCATACAACAACAGCAAGCTCGTCTCCCATTAAACACCATCTTCTCTAGTGCTCATTAACTCCTCCTCAATGAGCTCGCCATACGGGGAGTAGCTATGTGCTTTGTTACCCTCCTCTAAAGCTTGCAGAAATTCTCTGGTCATAAAGTGCAAGTGCATTTTACTGCACAAAGCCTGGATCTTTTAGGCATTAAAAATTAATCAGGTTAGATTCCATATGCTCCTGGAACTTAAAACAAGAGTTTTAAAACAAAACCCCCTTAAACATGGGGGGGGGGGGGGAATGAAACGGGGTTGCTTTCAAGGAATCGTTTGGATTCCCTTTTCTCCAGCCCTATTACAGTCAAGATAAAGAAATTAAGACATTATCTGCAAAGGGTAGAGCTAAGGCACATCAGGTTGTGAATTTCTCACAAATGAACATAAAACTAGATGCAGAACTAGCTACAGAAAAAAAAAATAAAAACCCTTCTACATGCTTATATAGCTTCTTGCCTTGGAAGGCTGCCAGCCTGAACAGAATAATAAGTGTAAATGGAGCAGTCATCTGACTTAAATACATGTTTTATTAGGAGTAGGCCATGTGCTAACCCTGACTTAGCTCCTTTAAAGACAACATGAAGTACAGGACCACGGTGTAAATGCTGCACGTACCCAAGAACCCGGAGTGAGCAAGAAGGCAGATCGTTACCCACCAAGTATAGCAAGGCTATGCTCATCAAATACAAGCTGTGTCCATCCGTTGCTGTGTACACACACACAATCATTGACCAGACTGTAGTGCCACAGGTCTGTGTGATTTACCTGCTGAAGGTGGTTGTGGGGTCCTTTTCAGCACACTTTCTTCCCAACAAACCTACAAAATGAGGAGACAGGTTTCTAATGAAAAATACTGCACGTCAAAGCTTGTTTAGACCACTGAGCTTTCATATCTGCCAACGCAGGCGATGACTGCTTGGATTCCTGAGCAGGACAGGAACAGACAGTTCAGGACGTTGTCTCTACGTTGACTGCAGATCCATGCCAGTTACTCAGCTTATTGGCTCCTGTTTGCCGCTACCACTGCATGCAGGAGCATCCAGGAGTGCTGATTATTGCTTTGGGTTTGGACAGCTTCTCTCCAACTGCCCACACGTCCCATGCTTAAATTGCACATAGAAAATAACCTACTTCTGCTACCAAGCCACAGTTACTTGCACTGTGGAGTAGCGTACCATAGGGCTAAAGGTCCCAGGTTCAAATTATTGATGCTGGGAAGGAACAAGGTATTATACATAGACCTGCACTCCTTCTGCTTATACTTTCCAAGCTCTCGCTGCTGCTCCTGTTTAAAGTCACGTGTTTGGAGAGGTGGAGTGGGGAGACCTCCTTTTCCCTGGAGCACATGACAGAAGAAACCAGCTGAATCTATGTGTTGGGTTCCAGCCCAGGAAAAGGATGGGGGCAGAGAGGGAGGAAAAAGTCAAATAAGAAAGATTCTGGGGGATGGAAATGAAGAGGAAAAGGTAAGAACAGTGGAGGGAAATTACTGATGGGAAAGGAAAGAGAAGTCTTCAGTCTGCCCTGCATGTTTAACATACTGATACAGCTAAACAAATGCAAGCTTCCTAATGTCCAGATGTATTCTGGTTTAGGAGGAAAAAAAAAAGTAATAGCCTTTTTGTTCAATTTAGAGCATCAAGAACAGATTTAAGATAATCCCAAATAAGCTACAAACAAAACAAAAAAAAAAGCCCACCTGCACTTGAAATTTAAGTTTGGTTATCACAGGGTGTGAATTCAAAGCAGAAGAGATGCCATTTAATAGCTCCACGGGTGAACAGTCTGCGTGTGGATACTATTCTGAATAAGTGTTCACATACGGAGTTAGTTATTTAGGAACTTATACTGCACTTTAAATTCACATGCAGCTTTAAGCCAAATTCACATCAAGTGCAAAGTCCCTTAGTAATAACAGACAAGACAAAGATAAATCGGGCCCAGAGCGTTAGCCGTGGCATTGTTTTAAAGGAAATCTGTTTGGGGGCAGACGGTGGGAAAGCAACAACCACAAATCTTTGAATCTGCTATTAAATGGTAGTTGGGCTCTTTTTAGCTAACCTGAAAGTCATTCTGGCCTTGGACACCAAAGGGGTGACAGCTTTTAAAGGTGAGAAGGAAACAGTAGGACCATTTAGGGTGAGCCCCTGTAGAAAGCAGGGTAAGAGCCCTTCACCTCAAAAACCTATGGTTGAAATAAAGCATTCCTTTGAGAAAGGAATCAAGTCATGATTTGAAGGAGCAGTGATGAGCTTACCACATCCTTTAGGGAACTGGTCCAAGAGTTAATTACTCATTGTTTAAAATGTTCATCATTTTTCCAGTTTATTCCTAGTCATGGGCCATGTTATCCTCTTGCTGGCCACGTCAACAAGGGCTCTATAGTCTGATATTCAACCCCCTCCAGAACTTAAACCACCCTCCTTTTCTGTAGGGAAAGTTGATGGCTATACAACTGACTTCCCATCATTTCCTTCTGGGGGGCCAGGTAAAATTTGTTGTTCACCTCTGCCAGACCTAGAAGAAACCCTACAGAAAAGGTTTAAAGAATAAGAAGTAATACTAGGAGCATTACCTATTTCAAGTGCAAATCTTTTTCCAAATTATTATACATTGCATGCGGTTGACCCACCTCAAAAGCAATACTGCAAAGTGAAAAGGTGCACAAGGCATAATGATAATGATTGAGCGCATGGAAAACCCTTATGCAAGGAAAGGCAGAGAAGATTGGGATTGTTACCACAAGGAGGAGCTGAATAAGAGGGTGGATGTGGGGACGCAATCAAGAGAAAATGAATGGGCTACAGAATGGCACAGGCATTTCTCTGGTCTCATAACAAGACCAAGAGGACAGTCACTGAAATTAATAGGTAGCAAATTGCAGCCTGATAAAAGGAAATTCTTTTTCCACTCACCCTACAGTTAGGCTATGGAATGGACTGCCGCAGACGTCATTGAGGTCACAAGCTTAAGAGTCAAAGATGAACTGATCGCTCATGTGGGTAACGAGACGATGCAAAGTTATCACAGTTCACGCAAAAGACAAGCTCTGGAAGGGATGCCAAACCTCGGCTCGAAGGCTTAACACACCCGCTGACTAGCCTGGGCTTGGCAAAGGGGTCTGCGGGGGGTTACGCCGAGACATCTGCCTACTGTCGAGTTCTCCCACCTTCCTCAGCCATTTCTGGCTTTGGCCACCCTCCCCGAGGCCAGACAGACCGTGGCACTTCCCGCAACCCAGCGGCAGCCACGGAAACACTGGCTGGGCCATTCCCGCAGCCTCCCCGTGACCCCAGCTGCCTGAGCTTTCCCAGAGCGGGAAGGAGCTGGGTCATCCGCCTGCCCGCGTCTGCACAAGGGAGAAAGAGGAGCTCGGAGGGGCAGCCGAGAGTAGCAAAGGGGTGAACCCCGCTGGGAAGGGGCACGAGGGAGGGGTGGAGGTAGGCGCCTCGCTCTCAGCCCTGCCCCAGCACTCCAGGCAGGATGCTTCCCTCGTCTCCCACCCAGCCCAGAGGTTTCATAGATGCAGTTTGCGCCCCCCAGCGCCTGGAGCCCGGTGGCTGGCACAGCCCTTGCCCCCCGCACTCTGCACCCTCCTGCCTTCCAGCCCCAGCCCTGCTCCCCCTCGGGCCCACCGAGCAGCACCCGCGCCCCGGGAGGGGCTGGGCTGGGCTGCCTGTCCCCGCCCGCGCCCGCGCCGGGAGCCCTCACCTGGCGGCTGGCGGCTCCCCCGGGCAGCCCGGCCCGCCAACATGCAGCTGCGCCCCCGTTCTAGAACAGCCGCGAGCGCTCCAGCTGCGGGTCCCGCTCGCCCCGCCCCCCGCCGCGGACGTCACCATGTTCTCTGCTCCGATTGGGCGGCTGCCACATTGGGAACTCCACCCCCCGCCGCGGACCTCACCGCGGCGCCCGGCCGCTGCCGTAATGCTCGTAGTAGCTGCCCCCTTGCAAACCTCCGGAGGTGCTAGGGGAAGAGGCGGGCGTGGCTGTGGAGCCCTGTCTAATAGTTTCTTGGGGTAGAACTACACACCCCTGTAACTGATTAAAACACAGGGCGTCCATTTATTTATACAAGGTGCCTTGTGCCCAGTAAGGGGTGCCTGGCGTCTCTCAAGGTTGAACCCGTCCACGGGAGGGGACTTCCGCTCCCTCTTCCTTGCCATCGGGCAGTGGCCAGCTCAGTGCAAGGCGGGCAAGGCTCTCGCGGAAGAAGGTTGTAGGGTGGCCGTCGCAGCGGACAGTCTGGTCGTCCTGTAGGGATGCGAAACCCGACGCCTTGACGTCCTCTGTTTTCCTCTTGAAGAGAAAAGAAAGAGGACATCAAGGCGTTGGGTTTCGTATCCACAGAACAGCAGAAAACCGGAGTATCCTCTATGACGGCCACCCTCGGTAGATGTGATATCTTTTATTAGACCAACTAATTAGTAGGGAAAAGTGTGCTTTCCAAGCTTTTGGGCACAAACGACCTTCTTCGGGCATAGGGAGACTGCTATGCCCTTAGCGGGGACGGGCAATTATTTCAGGCGGAGGGCCGCTCACTGAGTTTTGGGAAGCCATCGAGAGCTGCATGACGGGCAGCTGGGGGAGATCAATATTAATCTTCTACATTTTTTAAGGACTCCGCGGGCCGGATAGGATGGCCTGGCGGGCCGCATCCGGCCCCCGGGCCGCATTTTGCCCTCCCCTAGCTCCAAGCAACACCCAAGCCCATTTTAAGCATCCCGGGGGTTTCAGCTCTATTCACTTGCCGAGTATTTTTTCTTTCCTTCAGATGTTGCGCTGTGGAGGGGAAGGTGGAGGATGACGCAGGGATTTCGCAGCAGAGGTTCGCCTTGAGAGGATATTTTAATTCCATCTGTCTGAGACGCCGTGCAGCAGCCGACTTCAGCCTGTGAGTAGTAACTCTCATTTCACTATCAATGCCTGAGAAAACGTTTAAGTGTCTGCTGGGCTGGGGACCTGTAGTTTGAAGACATTATAATGAAGAACAGTACTAAACTTCATAATGTTAAAAGCAGAGATGGGAGAGCTGTGTAGCTGAGAGCCAGATTCACATCCACAAGCATTAGATCCCAAGCCAAACAGCTCTACCGGAGTTTGGAGATTGGGGATTCGAGGCTGGTTCATCAACAAAATAAGCCTGAGGCATAAAGGTTAAAATAATCGACACCTGGTACCCGATCTTCCTCGAGCATTTGAATGGTTGAGTTGCAGTGACCAGATCTTGGGTCTGTCAGTAGTTAAAAGTGAACTGCAAAAAGAAACTGGCACTGTATGCAAGTCCATAAAAATGACTTAAAGTTCCCAGCCAACCAGGCTGAACTGGGCACAGCCATCAGTTTGAATCTGCTTTCCATCCCCTGCGTCTGCATCCTTCTGAGGTGCTACAGATCCCAGAAGAGTTGTCATAGCTACCAGAAGAGTTTAGCGTGAGATTTCTGATATTTGTGATACCTCACATCACTTCGTAAACGGGAGCCTGGAAATTTAAAAGTACAAGGAAAATGATTTAAACCCATGAATTTGTATGGATTTCCATGCTGAAACCCAATCCTGACATAATAGCCATGTGCTGATATATCACAAAAGCCCTGAAGGACCAGAGGAAGGGGACTGGTTTCAGAACGCCCCCGTCCTGCAGACTGCTGTCATGTGCCAGAGCAACCCTTGGCTCCTCTAGCAAAACTGCTGCCAATAATGCCAGTTGCTGCGATGGTTTCTGTGAGATGATGAATATCGTCAAGCAGGGATTTTGCTAAAACCACTAGCACATTTCAGAGCAGTCAGAACACTGTTTCCACTAGTAATAACTTAAAAAACCCATGCTAATTAGGAGTCAGAGGATCATCTGCTAATTAGCTAATTGACAGCATGTGTCAAACATTAAACAATAGCTGCAATTGAATAAAAACAGATAAGCCACCAATAACAGCAACTTGCTATTTCACTGAATGAACTGAGGAGATGATCTGATGTTGTAGTGAACCAGAAGAACAAGCCTTAAGGAGATTACTCACACTGACAGAATCCAAAGAGAAAATGGAAACTAGACAAGCAACTATCTAACATAAGGATGTAATTTCACTGAGGTTTCCAGCAATTACTAACATCCTAAGCTGCAAGAGAAGAGTCTCTGGCTGGTTTACCCTCCAAACCTCAAAAGGTAATTTCCTAGGTTGCATATACATGTCCTATTACTTATTGGAGGCTTGCTTCTTCCCCTTTTCATGTGTAAAAAGTTCAATTGCTATATTGAACTTTTGAGTTTATTTCAAAGATGTCTCATCAACACTAAAGTGACAGTTAATTTCTTATGTCAGTCCAAGGTAGAAGGTAGAGATGGGCAGGGGCAACGGGGCCAGGTGGGAAACTAAGGAAAAAATGAATTTTGGAATGGATTAGAAAAAAGAAAGATTGTGCCTGGAGAAGAGGGGAAGGAGTTTTCAGGAGACTGAGCCAAGCCCCGCAGGATGGGTTTTAAGTAGCTAGTCCTATGCCTATCTTTAAGATACTGGCATACAGGCTTCTTGTTACGGCTTTATTTTTTTTAAATGCCTCTTGCTGCACTTTGTGGCAGCTATTAAAGACTAAAGAGATGCTTTGAGAGAATCTGAGCAGCATTCACATTGGTCATCATTCCAGGAAGGAGGCTTTATAGGTACCTCAATACTGGACAAGTGGAGTCTCCACAGTTTCTACGTAGATGGCCGTAGGCCAGGGCTCTCGGTCTCAAGAGTGGAGCTAGTATTTAAGCCATTACTTTTCCTAAGAGTTGAGCTGTCAATCAAAGGACACCATTACAAAGAGCCCTGCATACCCACATATTTTTGGATCTTCCCTATTGTCTGCCTACAGGCCTTTGTCTGACAGCTTGGAAGAGGAAACACTGAAGCCCTCCAACAGTACATACACACATGTCAAAACAATAATGTTATTAGGTGAATCAAGGCTACAGGGACAGAGAGAAATCTAGCTGCAGTGGCCACAGGATTTCCTCCTCAAGACTGAGTTAGAATTCAGTCCTTTTATAAATGCCTATAAAACATCCCCAGTAGAAAAGGCATGACTTATGTAACTGCGTAACTTATGGTGTTGCTTATGTGTATGTATTTATATTTAAAGAGAAAATAAGCAAGAGCGAGAGGAGGAATCAGGATTTCTCATAGAAAACCAAGGCATCACCAACATAAACTTTGCACAGTTTAGCTGGCCAACCAAAAGTCCAAGTAGATTCTTTATGATAACTCCCATGGCTGAAATAACATACTGCTTTGTGTCTGAGAAGATGGTGTGTATTGAGGTATCATCTAATTAATATTGATCCTTTAGACTCTTAAGTTTAGCATGCGCAGGGAAGGTTTTGGCATGCCATGGGGAATTTGATACTCAATTCTAGAGGATTAGAAAAACAGGAAATTTCCAGAAATTAGCATGGTTGCTGGTGGTACAGTATGCCCTGCTCTTGGCTTACAACCTGCTTTGATGCTGTAGCTCCAGCTGGGTGCTTCTCCACAAGGTTATTCACAGTTATTCAGCGATCATTTGAGGCTGATATCTAGACATTGCTTAACCTTATATTGCCAAATACCATGGAGTCCGTTTCATGATCTGATGCTCCAGCATTTAAGCCAGGCTTCTGTGGTGACCCCTGAGAAAGAACCCATGTAGACCTCAGAAATATCAGACACCAAATGGAAAAGGCACTTGGGCGGGTAAGGTCTTACGTCATCACATGAGCTTTGAGTGGGCCTCCCATCTGAAAACAAGCATGCTGGATAAGAACCGACAGTCGCCCACTTCCCATCTCGTTGGTTCATTGCACAGTGACCCAGGGAACACGGTCATCAAGTTCCTGGGGAGTTCAGCTCTGTGACCTGCCAGTGTGGGAGCATAATGGATGATGTCTGTAAAACGAATGGCTGCTGAGCACACTGTCCTCCAGTTATGAACAGATAAGCCAGGACTACAGCCACGTCTCCTGCAGAGAACACTGCTCATCATTCCCATCACGTGTGCAAATACCATCTTGGGGCACAACGTGTATCGTGTCCATGGAGCGCCTGTTTCCTAGTTCTGTCAGCTGTAGAGGCCCTTCAGGTCACACACAGCCCGTCTGCTCTTTGTATCATAAAGACATGGACTCTTTCCTAGAGGATCTACGTTGTTTGTAACTGCATCTTACTGTTCACTTCCAAGGCAATATATTGGGTTGCTGGCCTCCCTGTTGGAGTGAGGAAGACCTTGGAGCAGTAGGAGAAAGTAGACTTTTTCAAGTGTTGATTCCTTTGCCTCGCTCAAAGGACGCAACAGCTCATATAACTATAGCAGTGGGGACCCTAAGTAGCACTGTCTATATTAGAAAAATTCTCCCTTCAGCTCTTCACAGATGTGAGTTACAGTTTCCTTTGGATTTCCTATATAAAAGCTAATCCTTGGCTCATAGCCCCTTCTGATTATTGAACAAGGGCCAACTTTATCCTTCTCCAACTCCCCACCCTCTCTAAGGCCTTATCATGTAACACCCTAGCACAGCAGTGCTCATCCATTTGGCCACATGGGCCAGATTCTTTCCTGCAGATGGACTCTGTGCAACCATCGGTCTACGAGGCCTGGCATTGCCTCTCCTGCCTCCCTTCTCCCCCCAGCTCCCCTTCTGTGCATAAAGATTGGGTCTGGAGGGCTGACACTGCCCCTCCAGGAGCCCATGTTGCCAGGATTGGCAACATCCCGGCAATACCACTCCCTCCCCCCTCATGCTGGAATTGGGTCCCGGT